CCACCCATTTATTTATCCACCCAGTTCATTGTAAAACCGTGTTTACATACCTCCTTCAAAATCAAAACCTCCTGGTGCAGCTCCTTGTACCATTGTCTCTTCAATCACTCCATCAATCTTCTCCTCCACAAGAACCTTGCCAGGGTCTGTATATAAAATAATCAATACAAAATATTTATACTCAAAACATTTGATTAAATTAACTAAGTTTTCGAAGATTCTTCCTGACGCTATCCATACATGTGACAGACCTCTTTAGCTCGGGCGTAATTTTTTTCATTTCAGACCACGTGTCATTCCCTAGAGAATAAGACTCTTTATTTGAGTTGCATCCATATTCATGTGTCTTCTCATGTGCAACCGTTGAACAAAGAATTGATAATCTAGAGAATCACACGTGGTCTGAAATAGGAAAACATTACGCCCAAAATAAAAGGGTCTAGAAAAGAAATAATACTCAAGGGAATGACACGTGGTCTGAAAAAGGTAAAGCATTACGCCCAAAGCAAAAGGGTCTATGTAAAAGAAATAATACTCAAGAGAATGACACGTGGTCTGAAAAGGTAAAGCACTACGCCCTAAGTAAAAGGGTCTATGTAAAAGAAATAATACTCAAGAGAATGACACGTGGTTTGAAAAGGTACAGCACTACGCCTAAAGTAAAAGGTTTATTCTCCTAGTTATTTACGAGGAAGCCTTACCTGGATACAACACAGTTTCTGTCTCATCTTTGCTGTTGTTAATCTTAAGCCACTTGCCACATCTAAACACGTAATGTTCGTTACGGGACGGGATATCTACGTGTACTTCCTCGAGCCGCCACGAAGGGTCCTCTCCTCGATTATCGTGTCCGATCACCATTTTATTCAGCTGTAACGAAAATGCATATAAAGTTATATCCTTGTGACGCGAACAAATTTCAATAGTCCCCGTCTACGTCGATTTGACAATCTACTCTAAAAGACCCCTTGCATGAGACTTCAAAGCAGCTCAATTTGGAGGACAAAACAAAAGAATTTCAATCTCCTGAGAATTCACAGTTCCGTGCCATATTGAAAGGAAGCCGTACCTTTGCATCGAAGCAAGAAAAATGGTGTGCATGCAGTGATAAAGACCTTTTTTTAACACTTTGGACAATAATTCACATGTCTCTATCATGGCAAGCTTACCTTTCGTCTCGCTTCGATGCAAAGGCAAGGCTACCTTTCAAGATGGCGCCGGGCATGTGCCATTCCTGAGGTACAAAAATGGAGTTTTTGGGATGCAGCGAAAGGGAGAAGATGTGCAGGAAGGAATGAGGAAATGAAGTAAAGGGAAAAGATGGAAAATGAGAGGAAAGGGTAAAAATGAGCTTTACAACAGGGAGACTAATACCTTTCCAACATCAGCAGTTTCAACCACAAACTTGTCTGCTCGTCCTCTTTCAAACTTCTTGAAGGTTCGTCTCTCGTCCTCCAAGACGATGTCTGAAGTCTCTCCCTTGTCTCCATACAGACGGAAGTAGACTGTGGCATCAGTACCGGCGTCGGGCACATCAGCAGTCATGATAGTCAAATGATAGAAAATATCTAGAAATAACAAATATCATGTGATAAAATAGATTTACTAGGACTGGTATACCTCCGGTACTGGGATGCTCGAATGGGTTCCGCTCTCAACCAATCAAAATGAGTTACAGCGTAAAACGTCCAATGACATTGCTTGAATATGTACAAAACTGAGATTAAGAGGTAAAGGTTTTGGATTTTGGATTTTTGAGTCGAGCAGAGGGAGGGGCGATTCACGTGAATGTGCTTGGGAGGGGGGTTGCACGCGTCACCCAAAAGCTTTCTTTCAGCACCAAAATTTAACTAATTGKCCCCTGGTTCACACCAACCTTCAAGGTCTTCAGGGTATGGCTCTCCTGGTATCAGCTCTCGTACCAAAGGGTTCCCATCTTCATCGGTACCAAGCCAGCACTTGCAGGGGAACACAACCTCTTCTCCGTATTTGTCGATGACGGTGACTTCTTCGATGAAGATGGTGCGACCTCTTGCTCCTCCGTTGTCACCGAGGCGAAGTTTTGTGATCTAGAAAAATATAGCTCGTTAGTTTAACATGGCAAGTTATCATCACCAAACTTCATCATCATCATCACCGTCAATAGCATCAATACTATGATATCATCATCAGTATCACCATATCATCATCACTATCATTAGACATCATCAGTAATATTAAGATATCATCATCATCATCACCATCATCAGTACACCTTTTGCTATTCATTAACAGAAAATGTACATTCATTTGTGCCAATAGTTGTATCAATAACGTGTAATGTACTTTCATCAACACTACAAGTAACATCATTAGCGCGGATCAACTTTCAATAACAATAATTGAATATGCGTGTACATTCATGGGCATCAATGGACAATCAATAGCGCGTTTGTACATTCATATGCGCGGATTGTATTTTCTTGTGCGCGAAATTCAACTTCAATAACACGAATTGACAAACAATTGCATTTATGGACAATCATTTACCCAAAAGTGAAAATTCATTAGTGCTATTAGCATAATCATTGACAATCTATAACGCGTTTGGACA